CCTATGTAAAATGGGTCATCGAGAAGTTTCTAAAATAATAATTTCTAGCAGTACTGCATGTCTTGCTGTGATAGGGCTAGGGCTCGCCTGATTGTTAGTGCCAACATCTATAACGACTGGTAGGCACCAGTGAGGCTGAATACCACCCAAAGCCACATATAGTGCAAGCTTTCCAACTGGGATTCCCATTCCGTACGCTCCAAGATCTCCAAGACCAAGAATTCTTTCCCCATCAGTCACGACTATGGCCTAAGAAACCGGCTAGATTTTGACTGAAAGAATCCAACTGATTTTAATTTGCGTGTAGGTAACGGATTCATACATGATTTAGTCAACTAGAGGAGCAAACTAAAATATCTTCCCCCTTGAAAATCAATTCAATCTGTGACAAACTCTTACCTGAACAGAAGAAATTGGCCAATTACAAAGGATCTGATGAATTTTGCTAATGCTGTTGTCGTTAATGGTAATGTAGAGACCTCTGAAATCACTAGTTAAGCTAGAAAAAGAGATTACGCCCGAGAAGCAAAGCAATTTGATTTCAGGCAGTTAGCGGGGATAACGCGCAAAGTTCCCATTTTCTTTGAATCGAAGGAAATTGTGGGCATTTTCTACCATTGTAATAAAGAACTTGGCTAACGTTGTTGTTAGAACGACTGCCATTTGAGTGCTTTTAATTCTTATGAAAAATAAACAAAACTAGGTTACTAACTTTGGATGACGATAGATAGCTCCGAATTTTTGGCAAGCCAAGCCTACAGTGGGAGTATAGACGATAGGCATCAACTCTTTGATATTGTCACAGAGCACTCGATAGAAAAGCTTCTCAGTGCGGTCTTGTAGCTCATCGAGTTGGACGTATCTGAGCATATTTTAAAGAATGCTGTACGAATTTGATGACTCCTTTGCTGTATTGACTGCTTCCATTGAAAATAAAAGCATTCGAGCACGTTTATACCTTGCAAGGTCATCTGGCTGTTCTCGAAGCTTTTTCATAACTCTGTATGCTTGCTGTTCTTCAGTCATGAAAGCTGGAGGCAAAAGACCATGAATTCCCAA